CCCCAAAACCCCAAAACCCCAAAACCCCGTGACGCTAAATGGTAGAAGTATCTGTTTATTGTATAGGACTGATAAATAATATTTGTAAAATTATTAACTTTAGAAATGAGAATTTTTATCAAGATATATGCAGACGACCTAAAGTCTCCCAGTTCCACATACCCTCTTTAATTAAAAGGCACTATCAAGGATATCACTATTGGCTAGCTCAAGCATGAGATCGAGAATAATATACTACCTTAGATTCTACAAAGAAACTAAATCATCTCTATAAAAAAGAGTGTTGTCATTGTAAAATTTTGATTTTTCTTAGCATTAATGATTTCAGATGAGAATAGACCACAGTGACTCAGTTACTCTTGAATAAGCGGGTATTACTGACGGAATCAAAATTCATGTGCAAGACTAGTATAGTCTGAACCAAAAATCAAAGTTTATGAGCCAGAATTTTCACTAGGACTAGAGTCATATTCCTTAGACAAATGCTTAATCTTTTATTGTCTCGTCAAGTCCTTAGCAAAAACCTGATCTAGCCTATGTAGACGAAATCCTAATAAAAGTAATATATTTGCTATAAAATCTGATCATTTTCACAGTTTCTTGAATTCAATCAGCTGTTTGAGTTCATCGATGTATTCTAAATGTATCACATACAAGGTGCAAATATGCAATAAAATTTGGACATCAACAGATGTATTCATAACGCCCCTTAGCAATCAATGGAAGGAAAATCATATCTGCATCTTGCTGTGGAAAGAAAGCATAAGCAAATTATTGCATATTTGCTATTCGATGCAAAATTAGACCCTAATAGGCTTACTGAAGAAACGGAAATGTCCGCATTACATATTGCAGTTTAGATGAAGTCAAGTGATGTCATTGAATTACTATTGACTCATGATAAAACTGAAATAGATATTTAAAGTAGTATTCATGGAACTCCTCTCCACCTCGCATGCAGAGGTGGCTCAGTCAAGATTGTCTAGTAGCTCTTATTAAATAATGCAGATTTAAGCATTAAAAACAATAAATTCAAGACTGCAAAAGAAGTGACAAATAATCAAAGAATCATCTACTTAATTGAGAAGTATGAAAAGCGTAACAAAACAAATAATAGCTCATTTTTATCGACCTAGTCTGAGGAAGAAAAGGAGAGTTCAGATAAAAAGTAAATGCCTTTTTAATCAGCTAACTAATCAAGTATAAAAGCTCCCTTGATGGATTGCATAACTGAGGAAGATATTATGTATGAAGAAGAGGAGATAGAAAATTAAGCTGGAGGAGTATTAGATTAAGCTGAAGAATTTATTCAGGATTTTTCATGTTCAAGAATTGAACTCGTTCCAACAATTAGAGGAAGCTTGTTAGCGTAAGGTAATTTAAAAAAGAAGCAAAAGTAATTATACTTTGTACTTAAGCCATCGAAGGGCTAATTATTAAAGTTTGAGAAGAAAGATCATTATGATAAATTGATCAAAGGGTAATCTCAAGATGAAAAAATTTTCAGGAAATACAATATTGAAATCATATATCTCAAGAATATCTTAAGTATTTATCCAAGCTTTTAAAATCAGTTTATTAACAAAGGCTAGCATGCTCTAGAGATGTGTTGCTATAATGAGTAAATAATATTTTTTGCCTCTTATGATTCTGAATAATTAAAGGAATGGCATAGTCTATTGACAAAGGCTAAGAAATTTTATGAATGGTACAAGACTATACTAGACTTATTAGGAGAAGAAGATAAATTAACTGAATAGATAAAGTACAAGCTTTAAGAAATAGAAGAATTTTGTGATTCTTATTGTGACACTGAAATAAAGGACATACCTTTCATAGAATAGAAGCAGGCTGAAATAAATAACAGACAAAGACTTGAAAGGATTAAAGAGATTAATTAAAACTTAAAGAAGGAGGAATACATTGAATCCTAGAACGGGAGTAACTCTAGTAAGCATAATGTCTCAGACTGGGATTAATATGCATCTTTTACCAAAGCATCAAGGACTGCATCAGATTTGAATTTCAAGCCAATATTTAAAGACTTTGAAATATTAGAGTAAATTGGAGAAGGGTCCTTTGGCAGAGTCTTCAGAGTTAAACTAAAATAAACAGGAGCAGAAATGGCTATGAAAGCAATGAAAAAGCAATTTTTAATTTAAAACTCGCAGATCAAATATGCAGTAAGTGAGTGTAAAATTATGCAGACTCTCGAGCATCCATTTTTACTAAGAATGAATTATTCACTTTAAACTCCTCAGCACTTATACATGATTACAGAGTACTGTAAGAATGGAGATTTATCCTATCATCTTGATTAGCTTCAATTCCTCGATGAGAAAATAGCAAAGTTTATCATTGCTGAATTGACACTAGCAATAGAATACTTACATTCAAATAATATAATATACAGAGATCTAAAACCAGAAAATATTTTGATTGATAATTAAGGCCATGTAAGATTAGCTGACTTTGGTTTAGCTAAATAAGGACCAGATGAGAAAACTCAATAAAAGAAAGGATAAGCCTTCGTAGCATAAAGCTTTTGTGGAAGTCCAGCTTATCTTGCCCCTGAAATGCTTAAACAGCAAGGAATCACATCAGCAGGTGATGTATATCAAATCGGAGTTGTTCTCTATGAGATGCTAGTTGGCATGCCTCCCTATTATAATGATAACATCAAGGTCCTATATCAAAACATAGAGAAAGGCAAACTTAAAATACCTAAGTATTTGACTAATGAAGCTAAAAAGTTCTTACTGGTAATTTTATAAACTCTTTATTTTCTTAGAGAATTTTAAATAAGGATCCAAAGAAAAGACCTTCTCTTAAGGAAGTAAAAAAGGATGCTTTCTTTTCTGATATTGACTGGACTAAACTTGAGAATAAGCAAATCCCACCACCATAAATTCTAAAGAAGTATTCAGAGTATGATGATAGTGATGAGGAGGATAAAGAAGAAACAAAACAAGCGGCTGATCTGCCTATTAAGAAGCTAGACAAACTTGTAATAAATATTTAATTGTTAACTTCAGGAATAGGAAATGATGTTTGAGAAATCTGATCAAAAGAATGCGTTATTTGATGATGAAGACTATGAGGATCATAATCAGAAATATAACAGAGTAAAAAGCTATTCCTTCTCGAGAGGAAGGGTGATCTAATGAAAGCATAAAGTGTATCAGAAAGACTAAATATAATGATAAGTCGATAAAGCTATCAGGAGAATTTAACAATAGATGAGATCGTTTGATGCTCAAATTATAAATATAAATATCGTTGCGAAGTTAATTATTAACTGAGATTTAAGTCTTGACTATACAATTAATTATCTATTCCTCTATTAATTATGTTGGCCGTCAATGATTGATTTATTCAATAAGTTAACTCAGAGAGTTTCCAGTCTTCGTAGGTTCCATCTGGTAAATATCTCCTAATGATAAAGGGAATTCTCCTTTCATTGAGTTCTCTCTCAGCTAGCTTATAAGGATCACATTCTCCAGGTAAAGGTTAGATCATGAGTGGAGCATTCTTTGATATCTGTAAGGCTCTTGTTCCTAGGACTCTTGCCTTTTCGTACTTAGTCATAAAGCTTGAAGTGATTCTCTCTGTAGCTTGCTTTTTTTTGCCCACTGCGAATTCATCGTTCTCTCCTCCTCCAGCTGCTACCTCATCTGCTTCTAGAATTTATAGCTATAAATAATGTTAAAGATGGTAAATGAAAATCAAAACTCACTCTATCTTCCTCATTTTATGAATCGTTCTCATCGAAGTTGTCATCACCATCGCTTTGATAATCTTTGTCGGACATTCCTACTCTATTTTATAATATTAGTATTTAATTAATTAATTCCCAATTACTTATATTTATTCTATCATATGGGGTTTTGGGGTTTTGGGG